TGGGCCCCCATGCACATCTTTATGCAAGGGAAGGCTTGCCTGAGGATTTAGCAGACTGAGTGCCAGACTATGCAGGTGAACAAGGAGCCTACCTTGGGGGGAGAGAGGGTCTCGACAGGGGGTCGGAAGAGTGAAAAATCAAGTGGTATGTTTAACACATAAGGAAGGAGAAGGCTGCAGTCTTGTTTTGTAGGCTTCTTCCACTACATTAAGTGCTTGTGTCATCAGTAATATCCTGGATGATTTCAAGAGCTGAACTGAGTTGTCCCTCAAAGACCATGCAGATCACACATTTTCTACACAAAGGTTTCACAATACAACTTAAGCCAAAGTGCCTTAAGCATGTGAACTGACATTACACATTCAGAAAATAACACGAGGCTTCTAGGAAACCGTTTACTGCCTCTCTATATGTTCTATAAGCAAGGAATCCACCTAAGCAGCAGTTAATCTTTTAATTGAATTTGACATGGTCATCCTCTACCAGAATGGCAAGTGCCTTCCTAAGGCAAGACACTGCCAGATCCACAATTGGGATAGAGCACTTCTGAATAAAATCCTCACTAAATGGATACAATAAGTATTTACAGTGATATTAAAAGTCTTGTTTGTTATTTAAAAAAAAAAAAAAAAAAAAAAGCCATGGAATACTTGCCTGCTCTGTGCAGTGTTTTTGAAAGAGCAGCCTCGATCCTCCTCTTCTCAAGTCCCCCACTGGTACTCCTGCCCACTCCCTTTTTGTAGGGTGCCCCCATAGCAAACTGCTTGCTATGGGGGCACCTGAACAGGTGTGCTCCCGAGCCGCTGTTCTATATGTTCTCAGACATTGAGCTGCGGCTTGGCCCTGCCCCTTCTTCCCCGATTGGTCACTGGCTGTGATAGCTCTCGCTGCTGCCTCAGCCAATCAGGAGTGAGTGTCCCTAGAGAACTGAAGCTCTCGTGGATATCGCTGGATCAAGAGGGGACTCAGGTGTTGGGGGGGATGGGAGATTTTTTTTTTTTTTTTTTACCTTAATGCATAGAAGAAGAAAGGGGCTGGCAAAAAAAGTGAAGTTAAGACTTCCTGCGTCCCATAATGAATGTAAAGGAAATGTATTTTATACATGAAAGTTGTGTAAGTGCCTAAATATGACCTAGTATCGGCATCTCTCAGTCCTATGAACAGCAGAGCTCACTCTGAGGGAATGAGAAGCAACACAGTTGGATCGATTGTGTTGGAGTGTGCTGGAAGAAGAGCGTAAGATGAGATTCTCAGTCTGTCAATACTCCTTTTTACTGTCAGTTCACAGGCTAGTGGAAAGGAGCAAGACATTTAAAGCAGTATTAAACCTAAAACCAAACATTTATTCTATTGCAGGTTATCAGTTCTTTAGATATCATGGCTAAATTCACTATTTTCACTAATTCACTAAGTCGGTCATAGACAGTTCAAATCTCAGCTTGTTCTTCAGGAAGTGGCTGAGATTTGAACCATAAACAGTATGGGCAAGCTGAATGTAACCAAGTTGATCGATCAATCAACTTGGGTGCAATTGGCATGTAGGAATTTACATGCGATTATTACTAGTGGCTATTATATAATCACTGTGTTCTCCCAGCAGGGATGACTCCCCACGCCTGGAGAACACAATGGCTCCATGGGAGGGATTCCCCCATCAATACTGACTATGTTGATGGGGCAATCAAGCAATTTAATTTCCCTATTTATGGCTGGCTTTTTTAAGCTTTATTCTATTTTTCATCTGGTGATACTGCCTGTTTTTTCAAAGAAGCTCTTCCAGATGCAGCAGTTTACAGGGATGAGACAAACATTGGCAGGGGTGCTTACAATGATCATGATCGGCTGTTAATATTTATGTAAAACCTTTTATTCCAAAAGGAAAAAAGATATTTGCTGTAACTGATTATAAAGTGTGAGCTGGAGTTTGGCTTCATTTTTAATGTGTTTTAGATCTTCTAGTACATGTAATACTCTTCCCTGAGCAATGCTGCTGTCTGCTGTGCCCTCTGTGCTCCTTTATCCAGAGTGGGGGCGCTGTAATATAGGAGGTGTTACTGGCCAGATCACCAGGTAAAAATGGAGATAAAGCCTAAAAAAAAAAAACTGTGTCCACCATATCCAATAATTGGTAAGCTGCAATATTACATTTTTGTTTTTGGGTTTAATACCACTTTATGTGTAACTTTAACTGCAGCAAAGAAAAATTGTCTCCTACTCTGTACGCAAGACTGTGCTAAATGTAAATCTCAGATTTGAAGTGATAGAATTGTGTCGATGTCCCAATATTTATGGACCTGACTGTACATTTCTAACATTTTTGGCTCTATACACCACCACAATGGATTTGAAATGAAACAAACAAGATGTGCTTTAACTGCAGACTGTCCGCTTTAAGGGTATTAACATCCAAATCAGGTGAACGGTGTAGGAATTACAACAGTTTGCATATGTGCCTCCCACTTGTTAAGGGACCAAAAGTAATGGGACAGAATAATAATCATAAATCAAACTTTCACTTTTTAATACTTGGTTGCAAATCCTTTGCAGTCAATTACAGCCTGAAGTCTGGAACGCATAGACATCACCAGACACTGTGTTTCATCCCTGGGGATGCTCTGCCAGGCCTCTACTGCAACTGTCTTCAGTTCCTGCTTGTTCTTGGGGCATTTTCTCTTCAGTTTTGTCTTTAGCAAGTGAAATGCATGCTCAATTGGATTCAGGTCAGGTGATTGACTGGGCCATTGCATAACATTCCACTTCTTTCCCTTAAACTCTTTGGTTGCTTTTGCAGTATGCTTTGGGTCATTGTCCATCTGCACTGTGAAGCACCGCTCAATGAGTTGTGAAGCATTTGGCTGAATATGAGCAGATAATATTGCCTGAAACACTTCAGAATTCATCCTGCTGCTTTTTGTCAGCAGTCACATCAATAAATACAAGAGAACCAGTTCCATTGGCAGACATACATGCCCACGCCATGACACTACCACTACCATGCTTCACTGATGAGGTGGTATGCTTAGGATCATGAGCAGTTCCTTTCCTTTTCCATACTCTTCTCTTCCCATCACTCTGGTACAAGTTGATCTTGGTCTCATCTGTCCATAGGATGTTGTTCCAGAACTGTGAAGGCTTTTTTAGATGTCGTTTGGCAAACTCTAATCTGGCCTTCCTGTTTTTGAGGCTCACCAATTGTTTACATCTTGTGGTGAACCCTCTGTATTCATTCTGGTGAAGTCTTCTCTTGATTTGTTGACTTTGACCTACCTCCTAGAGTGTTCTTTATCTGGCCAACTGTTGTGAAGAGTGTTTTCTTCACCAAGGAAAGAATTGTTCGGTCATCCACCACAGTTGACTTCCAGTGTCTTTTGTTCTTGCTGAACTGACCGGTGCGTTCCTTCTTTTTAAGAATGTTCCAAACAGTTGTTTTGGCCACGCCTAATGTTTTTGCTATCTCTCTGATGGGTTTGTTTTGTTTTTTCAGCCTAATGATGGCTTGCTTCACTGATAGTGACAGCTCTTTGGATCTCATCTTGAGAGTTGACGGCAACAGATTCCAAATGCAAATGGCACACTTAAAATGAACTCTGGACCTTTTTATCTGCTCATTGTAATTGGGATAATGAGGGAATAACACACACCTGGCCATGGAACAGCTGAGAAGCCAATTGTCCCATTACTTTTGGTCCCTTAACAAGTGGGAGGCACATATGCAAACTGTTAAATTCCTACACCGTTCACCTGATTTGGATGTAAATACCCTCAAATTAAAGCTGACAGTCTGCAGTTAAAGCACATCTTGTTCGTTTAATTTCAAATCCATTGTGGTGCTGTATAGAGCCAAAAATGTTAGAATTGTGTCGCTGTCCCAATATTTATGGACCTGACTGTAGATAATTTGGAAGGTAAAACTGCGTCATTTGCATTTCATCTGTGTATTTATCCATTTGCATTGAGTTCATCGATTCTGATATACCTGGTTATCACTAGAGCTAAGGTGGCACCTACAGATTTTAAGGTGTGCCTGTAGTAAACTTCCCTGATGATGTAATGCCTTGTACCTCCGAGGTGCTTGCAATTCCAGGTCAAAAAGCATAAATATCTAATAGGCACTGGTGACAAGCCTCCTATGACTTAAAATACCTTGGGGTCCATACACACTAGGAAAAAATTGCCAGAACGTCTGGCAGAAAAAGTGGCAGAAAAATGCTCTTAGTAGCTTGTATTGCACAAGAGCATATTTTTCCAAAGCATTCCCCTCTGCTCCTTTTTGGTTACCACTTCTGCCTGGCAGTACTAGGGTCATTGGTTTGAATCCCAACTATGGCACCACCTGCCTAGAGTTTGCATGTTCTCCCTGTGCCTGCGTGGGCTTACTCTGGGTACTCTGGTTTCCTTTTCCACTCCAAAGACATGCTGGTCGGTTAATTGGATCCTGACTAAATTCACCCTGGTATGTGTATGAATGTAAGTTCGGAACCTTAGATTGTATACCCCTTGAGGGTTAGAGACTGATGTGAATGTATAATATATACATTTGAGTATAATATATAGTGCTGCCTAAATTGATGGAGCTTACAAGTACCTAAAATAAAATGCTGTGTTTTATGTGTGTTTACGCTCACTTTTGAGCGTTTTATCTTTTTTTTTTTCTGCCTGAAACTTTCAAAAACGCACTTGTGATTGTTTTATTCTACCGCTAAACTCTGCTCTTGAAACGTGTCTGAACATTCTAATGTACATGGACACATAGGATAACACTGAGCTGCTTCTACAGGCAGGAGAAAAAAATGCAAAACTCCTGTAGAAGCAGCGTTTTTAAAGTTCAGTGTGCATGGACCTTTAAGACGGAACAAAATATAGGATAAAAGCATGTCCAATCCACAAGCAATTCCACAAATCTTTTTATTGTGGTGTCTTAAATGTGTGTATTTGTGTCTATGTATGTTTTCCATTCCTTTTCAATAGCTATTATTTATTTATTTATTTTTTTTCCAAGTGAACAACTCATTCAGTGGGAAGAATGTGTTGATTGTTGGTGCCAATGGTTCCCTGGAGGCCCCTCTGAACTATCTCCTACAGAAGAAAGGTGTTGTGTCTACATTTTGTTCCTGGCAGTCCCAACAGCTGCAGAACAAGGTATAATACTGAGGATATGTATAGCAGCTGCACCTTCCTCCATAGCAGCTGCTGTCTGGAGTAATTCTAGAAATGTTTACCTAAGATATATAGCTACTGATCTTGGCATGTTTGATTAAAAGGAATGGCTTATGCCATTTTTACATAATCTCTGCATTTAGTTAATAAAAAAAAAAAAAAAAACCTTACAAAGCACTTGTTCCTGATATTGGCAAATAACATAACCGTACAAGAACTGCAAAAAATGTTTTTTGGTTTTTTTTTGTGTTTTTAATGATCATTTCTGCATTAGGTTAAAAAAAAAGTATAATTCTTGTTGCTATTGCTGCTTCCCTTGTGTTGTATGTAAGCTGTGATGTTAGCATGATGAACAGGCAGTCCCCGAGTTACGAACGACTCTTATGAACGGAGGGAGAAACTGGAAGTGAGAGGAAATCTACCCCGAGGATTACCATGGGAAAAAAGGTGTCTCCACTGAAGGTTTATAACCAATCCTTGTTTCCACAGCAACTCAAAAGTTTCAATATCCAGTTGTCACAGGGACAGCAAGTGCAGTGAAATCTTTTGAACAGGGGCACACACACAGCAAAACAAATATTACAGGGGTGTTAACCTTTCCTTATGCTATCCAAAACAAATTTTTTTTGGCTGGAGCTACACTCCAATGTACTTGTTCCAACGTGCAGACAACTTCGACTTAAGAACAAAACTACAGACCCAATCTTGTTCGTAACCTGGGGACTGCCTGTATTGTGAAAGGTGTGCACAAAAAAATGGAAATGTTTGGGTGTGTCAAGTATATAGAATTTTTAAGTTTTATTACTATATTATTTAATATATATTTTGTAGCCTTTTCATTTATTTAGGTAATTTCATATTTTGTTTTCTATATAGGGTCATGATTTCATTTTCCTTACATTTATGACCTAAAATTCCTCTGAAATGCCATTGGTAGGGATGTGTGAAGAAGTATGTGTCTGGTGGACCTTCCTAACCCAACTGTGTATTGCTGTTAAACAATGAATGGGCAAATTGTATCATAGCATTCATTATACTGATACGTTAATACATTAATAAACAGCATGCAGCGCTTAAAAATATAAATATAGAAAACTCCTAATATCAGGATTATTCTCAAGATATGTTATACCAATATCATAGTCTCTGGGGTGGAAAGCCCCGTATAATATATTAGGTATACTGTATAGTAAATGGTTCAGAAATAGAAATTACATAAGTGTATTAAGTGGGATGAGCGTTTATAATATAACCTATGTTGGCAACAGTGACTTCAGTGGTGTAGGAAGGCCTTACTTTGAGAACGTGCTTTCGCTCGAAACATGTCAGGAGGAGGCCCCCAGTGACTCATCCACGTGGTTTACTTGGCCAGAGGCCATCCTTGTTATCGGATCGCTATATATGTGAGTGTATTTCCTTTGCATCCTGTTATACTTCATTACCTATTAAAGCAAGTTTGCACTATGGAAATTTTTGTGCTTGGGTTCATTTTGTTATGAGCCCTCCCTTTCAAGGATACCATTGATGACAGCTCTGTACGTTGGCTCCCCCTGGAGTTTGACGGTACTGCAGTGACCTGGAAGTCCTATGGTGCGCTGTAATTCCAGTTTGATGCCCACCAGCTGTTCCTGAGCTCCAGACACCAAGACGCAGATGACCAGGAGTTGGTCTAAACACTCAAATGCGCTTATACATGCGCTATCTGGTTAGTGCAACCCACACCTATTTACTACACCACTGAAGTCACCGTAGCTAAACTACATCCCCCAGAGGAAGCTACGAGTCCCTGTAGCGTAACGCATAGGGGAGGGGCGGTGACGTCATCACGCATCCACAGAGAAATGGCGAGTATACACATTGAGGGCAGACACACCTACAAGGCTGACCCTATCGTGGTCTGGATACATTTTATACAAAGCGCAATTGTATCTTTAATAATGTGAGTGTAAAATCAGCGCACATTAAAATATCTTTAATCCCAGATAAGACACTATGTTTCTTTTCCCTTCTTTTCATGTTCCATCTATGGAGGATAAAGTCAAGCAGCTAGCTGAGAATGATCTAATGAAACGGCTGTGCTGAGGAGAGAGAGGCTCACGCTGTTAACACAGATCCATGGTGCAGCTTTGTTTGAACATTATTATTTAATCCATCACAGCGGAGATATATCTTGTGGTATATTGAATGCTGTACCCATCTGGGTGATTAACACTATATTACAGAAAAGGAAAAATATTTTTCTTCCCACATATATTTTAGCACTAATGGTGCAACTTTGTTTGAACATTATTATTTAACCCATCACAGAGGAGGAACATTTTGTGGCATATTGTATACTGTATTCATTTGGGTGATTACAGAAAGGAATTTTTTTCCACATATATTTTAGCACTAATGAATGGATTTTATTTTTATTTTTTGATGATTTGTGGTGGGTGTGCGTATATATAGAAGTTTTTCATAGAATTGATTTATGTGGTAGGATTTATTGGAGCGCGGTACTATATTGGAATATATTGTTAACAGGTGCACTAGATAAACAACAATGAGATGACCCCTAAAACAGAAATGGTTTTACAGGTGTAGGGCCACTGAAATTATTTTCCCTACTCATCATCTTTTCTGACTTTTTTTTTTTGTCCACTAGTTTCACTGACTGGCTAGGATCCGTGTCACTACTGTAGCATGAGGCAATACCTGGACCCTACAGAGGTTGGAAAGGCAGTCCAACTCCTCTAGGATGGCACATCAATATGTGCCATTGCTGGAAGGTTTGCTGTGTCTCCCAGCACAGTCTCAACAGCATGCAGGAGATTGCAGGAGACAGGCAGTTACTCTAGGAGAGCTGGACAGGGTCGTAGAAGGTCCTTAACCCATAAGCAGGACGTACATCCGCTCCTTTGTGCAAGGAGGAACAGGATTAGCACTGCCAGACCCCTACAAAATGACCTTCAGCAGGCCACTGGTATGAATGTCTCTGACCAAACAATCCGACTTCATGAGATTGGCCTGAGGGCCCGCCGTCCTCTAGTGGGCCCTGTGCTCACTGCCTGGCACCATAGAGCTCAGTTGGTATTTGACATTGAACTTCAAAATTGGCAGGTCCGCCACTGGTGCCCTGTGCTTTTCACAGATGAGAGCAGGTTCTCCTTGAGCACATGTGAAAGAACGTGAAAAGGTCTGGAGAAGCCATGGAAAACTTTATGCTACCTGTACCATCATTCAGTATGACCATTTTGGCGGTGGGTCAGTGATGGTCTGGGGAGGCATATCCATGGAAAGATGCACAGACATCTACAGGCTAGACAATCACACCCTGACTGCAGTTGTGTATGGGATGAAATCCTTGGACCCATTGTCAGACCCTACGCTTGTGCAGTGGGTCCTGTGTTCCTCCTGTTCACGACAATGCCCGGCCTCATGTGGCAAGTGTATGCAGGCAATTCCTGGAGGATGAAGGAATTGATACCATTGAATGGCCCCCACGCTCGCCTGACCTAAATCCAATAGAACACCTCTGGCATATTATGTTTCGGGCCATCCGATGCCGCCAGGTTGCACATCAGACTGCCCAGAAGCTCAGTGATGGCCTGGTCCAGATCTGGCAGGAAATACCCCAGGAAACCATTCTCCGTTTTATTAGGAGCATGCCCCAACGTTGTCAGGCATGCATACAAGCACATGGGGGGGCCATACAAACGGAGTACCATTTTGAGTTGCTGCAATGAAATTTCAGCAAAATGGACTAGCCTGCTGCATAATTATTTTTTTTTTTTTCACTTTGATTTTGCTGATGTCTTTGAATGCAGTCCTCTGTAGGTTGATGGAAATAAGAATTCTCAAACAATGGGGAATACTAACATTACGAACACATTCAATATTGAGTTGGCCCACCCTTTGCAGGTATAACCGCTTCAACTCCTCTGGGAAGGCTGTCCACAAGGTTTAGGAGAGTGTCTATGGGAATGTTTGACCATTTTTCCAGAAGCACATTTGTGAGGTCAGGCACTGATGTCGGACGAGAAGTCCTGGCTCATAGTCTCCACTCTAAACTCATCCCAAAGGTGTTCTGTTGGGTAGAGATCAGGACTCTGGGGTGGAGGAATATGACTGTCCTCCACCCCAAACTCACTCATCCATGTGTTTATGGACCTTGCTTTGTGCACTGGTGCGCAGCCTTGTTAGAACAGAAACGGGCCATCCTCAAACTGTTCCCACAAAGTTAGGAGCATGAAATTGTCCAAAATGTCATGGTAAGCCGACGCCTTAAGAGTTCCTTTCACTGGAATTAAGGGGTCAAGCCCAGCTCCTGAAAAACAGCCCCACCCCATAATCCCCACTCCACCAAACTTTACACAATGCAGTCAGGCAAGTACCATTCTCCTGGCAACCACCAATCCCAGACACGTCCATTGGATTGCCAGACAGAACATGACTTGTCACTCCAGAGAACATGTATCCACTGCTCTAGTTTGTGGATTTTTTTTTTCTTTTTTTTTTTCTCTCAGGTTTTTTTTTCCTGTTGAATGCATTTCTCATATCTCTACAGACAAGACAGTTTTGAGTTGTACATGTTGCTGTAATGAGTGAGTGATGAGTTCTGCTGAAAAGTTGTAATGTGCAGTCTTTTACAGATGACCCATCCTCATACAGGGCATGATCAGGGGTGTTGCTAGGATTATGAATGTGAGTTATCAGAGGGACCTTAGATTGTACACACCCCTTGAGGGTTAGGGACTGATGTGAATGCACAATATATATGGTAAAGCGCTGCGTAATTGACATTGCTATATAAATGCCTGAAATAAATAAAAATAAATTGCTGCAGATGCCCAGTCTGTTTTTGAGAAGCAGATCAGTTTAATGAGAACATAATATTCTGTTTACTTCCACTTGGAGGCAGCAAACGCCATGCTGTTGGACTTCAATGTTTTCACAGCTGTAAGTTTGTGGAAATTTTTTTTCTTTTTTTTCCTGTTTGA